AAAAGAAAAGGAAATTGAGACAACGAATCGGATATCTTCAATAAGTGGGCCTTGTGAGTTACTCCTTGTTTTACTGAAACAGAATGGGTCATATGAACGGCACTTTGGTTTGGTCATTTGTCTGGTAACCATCATTTTGTCTGCGGCCTCTATTTCAAAAATCATCCGGGCAGAGCTGTTCACTTCCTTTGGAACGACGGTAGGCTCATCAACTTCAGGAAATGGATAAACAAATGAAAATCACGTTTCTATGCGTTATTTGAGTTCTCCCACGAATCCTATATGGATAGATGAAAACGACGTCTGCTCATTTCAACTGAGATTATTATTAGCATGAGATAGAGCCTAGTGAGTAGATGTGTAAGGATATCGTACGCTTGACTTGCCCTTTTAAAAATCGAGTCGTCGCTTTTACTTAAGAACTGTTTGCGCTCATAATCCTCTTGCATCATTCGTTTCATATTCATCTGCTTTTGTCCTCGCGGTTTACTGCACATGTATCCTTGTATAAATTGTAATGTAAAGTGCGTTTGTGCGCCAACCGTTTAGTTATTTCATACGTGGCTTTGTCAACAGATTGTTTTACTGATGCATGGTTAGGAAACCTAAACCTCAAACAGGAAAAAAAAAGCTTTAGTAACAGTCGAGACGTTTCATTACCAATACAAGTGACATAATCGGGACTGAATGGTGTAAAATTTTTCCATCTATATTTATGGTTTTCTAACATACATCAAGAAGACAATCGATTAGTGACCTATAGGCGCAGAATTAAACATTCTTTCAAAGAAATTCTAGGTGCCCTTGTAATCGCGCTGCAAACAGAAGAGTTTCTGTCTTTCGGTTTATGTCCATCAATGGAACATGATAATTATTACTCATTGTCCATGGTTTTTTCAAAGACAGTCATAATGCCAAGTGCACCATTCCCCTTGAAGAGGTCTTTTCATTTATTACACTTGTTGCATATGTATCCATGTTTCGACAGTGAAACTTGTAAGCCGGGCAGTCTTCACTGAGAGAGTTACGAGCTTGTAGACATCGCTATTTAAGAAACCTTTTCCTGGCATGTTTCTTGTTCTGAAGAAGAATCGAATCGCAATGCTGGGGATGTCTCCAGGCGTTCTGAAACACACAGGTAATTCGATAAACGGCCCCACTACTTTTCACATGTGCTTATGTTCAGACCATGAGATCCATAAGTCCTCGAGGCAGTTACTTATTGCAAAAGGCTGATTAACCTGTGCATTTGTTTGCATGGTCCTGAAGATGATTATTTTGCCAAAAAGACTCTTAGGATAAGGAAATTGAAGTTTCGTGGCTACAGTGTTGTAGACGTAACGATGCAGCCCTGCAGAAAATGAACAATTAATTATATCTCGATAATAACATAGAGGGAGAAGATTAGCGCAGTATCAAAACTACATAAAAGGAATGGTGAAACAGATGGCGCCCAGCCGTGATACTGTAAGGGAGTGCTAGATTCACTACGAATCAAAGGTGGTAGCTTGCTTCTTCATCTCATTCAAGTTATCCGTGCAGAATGCAGTTCTACGGATTCAGTCGAAGCACGTTTCATTGACGAGATCAGAATTTGTTTCGCTTTAAAACTGCCATAAATTCGCCGTTGAGGGAGAGCCCGGGTGAGAAAGGTGGAAAATTGGAGGGCGTGGCGAAGTCTCCGAAAGCTTAGCCGTCTGGTACTCGTGGTATTCCCGTCGTAGAAGATTATTCTGCATTGGTCGTCGTCCCGGTTACCAAAAGCAAGGCAGGTTATTGGTGGGGAGGGGGGACTGAAGCAGGTTGCAAAAGGTCAAAGATTGCCTCTTGACAGTCGGGGAG